AAAAAAAAAAAAGAATGAAAAACTAGTGATCATGAGTAGGAATGGGGTTTGATAAATGCTATAATGCAGCAATAAGTGATAATAAATAGAATCAAATGCTAAGTCTTTATCTTCCTGATGGAAGCTTGACTACAGAGCCTAGTGAAATGAAAAGCACTGCCACAGACTTATATACAGACTTTTATTGTGCTGATGTGTGTAATTTATCTTGCAGGGAGGAGCTATTGATGGGTCTGCCTAAACTGAGCACAAATCAAATCATTGGAGTCTGGATATTGAATTCCAGCAACTAACTACTGCTGTTCAGCAGCCCCCATTTCATCAGCCTGCAATGATGGGTTGCCAGAACTTTATAAATGTTTTTGGGGAGTGCTTAGAATTACAGAGGACAGAATTCATCAGAAGAAAAGAGGAGGTGTTTCAGAGCTTACTTAGCCTTAATTTGCTTTGTGAGAGGGAATTATGTTTGTTTTTCGCAGGACATTAGAAAGTTCAGTGACAGGGGAAATAATAAGGGTGACCATGTTTAAAATATTTTAGAGGCAAAGAATAATGAAGGATATATGTACGGAGCTGTTTTGAACAAAGCAGGCTAGAGGCCAAAAATTTGCTTCCTTGTTATGGCACAAGATCATTGCCAGTACAGCTCGGGAATATCCTTTTTCTTCCCCCTCTATCTCTCTTTCTGCCAGTCTAAGATGGAGTTCAATGTGGACCTGCGCTGTGATTTGTTCCTTGAGAGGTGTTGACACAAATTCTATTTGTAGCAATACATAACTACCAAAATATTGAGCCATGTTTTAGGCTAATAAGAAGGAATATAGTGCAAAGGTGTCCTTGATCTTGAGCAAATGTTGAAAGTAATAGTGACATTTAGTTTGAGAGGAGAATACAGTTACCCACAGGCATCTCAACGAAACTTTGACCACCTTTTCATGTTGTAACATATTGGACTCAGAGGCGAGAGTGAAGATCCATGTGTAATAGGTTTAATACAGATCTCAGCAAACCTAAACTTAACTTAGATATAAGGCAGGCAATGGTCTAAAACATGATTGATAATAATAATAAACACAAGAAATCTAAAGACTAATCCAAAAACAAGGAAGTCAGCAATAACAAAGGCTCAGACTTTACTCACATGAATGGCAATAAACTAACAAACATGAGCTGCTTATATAGTCTAGAGCCAGGAAGTCCTAGTAGAGGTCACGCTAGTGCTCAGGTGACCATGAACTCTGCTGGTGTGGGGAGGGGAAGTGTCCTGAACTCTCACTACACATGTACACTATATGGCCAAATGTATATGAACACCTTGTATGCTGTAGCATGACAATTTCCCTTCACTGGAACTAAGAGGCCCAAACCTGCTCCAACACGACAAAGCCCCAAGGTTGGTGTGGAAGAACTTGAGTGTCCTGCACAGAGCCCTGACCTCAACCCCACTGAACACCTTTGGGATGAACTGGAACACCAACTTCGCTCCAGACCTTCTTGCTGGACATCAATGCCCAACCTCTTGTGCTCTTAAGGGTGAATGGGCAAAAATCCCCACAGCCACAGTCTGAAATCTAGTAGAAAGCCTTCCCAGAGAGAGTGGATGCAGAGTGGTGATGAAGTCCATATTAATTCCTATGGTTTTGGAATGGAATGTTCAATGGTCAGGTGTCCACATACTTGTAGTTATATAGTGTATTTTTTCAGCCGGCCCCTGGAGGACTAGTGGTTAGGCCATGGCGCTCTCTTTGCTGTGGCCAGGGTTTGATTCCTGGCCAGGGAACCAACCCCAGCCTCTGGGGTTGGACAAGACAGTGCAGTTCCAAGCCCGGATAAAATTGGGTAGGGTTGTGTCAGGATGGGCATCTGAGAGAGTAACAACAAAAACAAGGGTATTATTTCAGCAAAATACAAACATACTCTCTCTATCTTCTTGATGGTGTTAAACAACAACATCTCTTATACCAAGTTGTAGGATAGAGTTAATGTGGGTAAACCCTCAACCCTGATTATACTATTGTCCATCAGTGATTTATAGTGGGCATGATTGGACAGTGGTATATTTCACACATATGTCCCAGCCCTAAAAGTCAAACCGTGGAAGTTAAGAAGCATCACACTTTTTTTCTGGCCTACCCTTTCAACAACTGACCAGCCTTATTTCTGGTTATTAGTCTCACCTCTTATGAGTTGGTAAATCAATTTCTCTTTGCTTATTTTATGTTCTATTTTAAGTAGTCCATGGTGGGTTAGAAACCAGTGGATCAATAGTTAAAGCTATTTAGTGTGTATTTAAAATGTATTTTGATAGCAGGGTGACCAGTGGTGCAGCAGGTATCATTGCTGTCTCACGGCTACAGGGTTCACAGATCAATTCTGAGCTCAGGTTAATGTCTGTGTGGAGTTTCGCATGTTCTCTATGTCTGCACTGGTTTTCTTTGGGTTCTCATGCTGCTAGGTAGAATGGCTAATCTAAGTATGTAGAAAACCTGGTTACTCTCCCACTCTCTGTGTCCATGGTAAATGCTGTTGGGCTGTGAGAAACACAGAGGTAATTCATCAGGTTGATTGAGGTACACTGTGACATGGGATCGTGGCTTGAGACTAAAAGCAGATAAAAAGCCATTTCATTGTAAAACCACAGAGGCGACTTGGTGCTCCTTCATCCAACTGCCTATAACAGCATTTAGCTGTAGCATAGCAACCACTTGTGCAAGGGAGACAAACTCGGTGTGTTTTCCACCTCACACTCTCAAGATGACAACATGAACAATTATTGTCCTTCCTATATATATGTGTATATATATATATATATATATATATATATATATATATATATATATATATATATATATATATATAATGTGTGTGTATATATACACACATATATATATACAGTTAGGTCCGGAAGTATTTGGACAATGACAGAGTTTTTGGGATTTTGCCTTTATACACCGCCACAATGGATTTGAAATAAAACAATCAAGATGTGATCGAATTTCAGCTTTATTTTTAAGAGGCTCCACAAAAATATGGCATTTACCATTTAGAAATTACAGCCATTTTAAGCAAAGTACCTCCATTTTCAGGGGCTCAAAGGTATTTGGACAATTGACTGACAAGAAGTTAATTGACCAGGTGCAGTCCATTCCCTCATTACTTCAAAACAAATGAAGCAGATAAAAGGTCTGGAGTTGATATCAGGTATTGAGTTGGCATTTGGCCGCTGTTCGACTGGAGCTACCAATATGTAGTCCAAGGAGATCTCAATGCAAGCGAAGGTGGCCATCATTAGGCTGAAAAAACAAAAGAGACCTATCAGAGAGATAGAAAAAACTTTAAGAGTGGCCAAATCAACAATTTGGTACATTCTTAAAAAGAAGGAATGCACTGGCGAGCTCAGCAACACCAAAAGGCTCTTTGGACTCATGAAACCAAGATTAACTTGTACCAGAATGATGGGAAGAGAAAAGTATGGTGAAAGAAAGGAACAGCTCATGATCCAAAGTATATCACATCATGTGTCAAACATGGTGGAGGCAGTGTTATGGCATGGGCATGTATGGCTGCCAATGGATCGGGCTCACTGGTGTTTATTGATGATGTGACTGCTGACAGAAGTAGCAAGATGAATTCTGAGGTGTATAGGGCTATACTCTCTGCTCACATTCAGCCAAATGCTACAAAACTGATTCACAGTGCAGGTGGATAATGACCCTAAACATACTGCGAAAGCAACTCAAGACTTTTTGAAGGCAAGGAAATGGAATATTCTTCAATGGCCAAGTCAGTCACCTGATCTCAACCCAATAGAGCTGCTTTTCACTTACTGAAGACAAGACTGAAGGCAGAAAGACCCACAAACAAGCAGCAACTGAAGGTGGCTGCAGTGAAGCCTGGCAAAGCATCTCCAGGGAGGAAATTAGAGTTTTGGGAACATGGGCTCCAGACTTCAGGCAGTCATTGACTGAAAAGGATTTTCATCCAAGTATTAAAATTATGGTTATATTTACAATTATGTCACTTTGTCCAAATACCTTTGAGCCCCTGAAAATGGAGGTACTTTGTTGAAAATGGCTGTAATTCCTAAATGGTAAATGTCATGTTTTTGTGGAACCTCTTAAAATAAAGCTGAAAGTCTACACTTCGATCACATCTTGATTGTTTTATTTCAAATCCATTGTGGCGGTGTATAAAGGCAAAATCACAAAAACTCTGTCATTGTCCAAATACTTCCAGACCTAACTGTATATATATACATATATATATTTTAGATCACAATTTAAAGGAGCTTTCCAGCATAAAACTAGAATGCACATTATTTTGTCAGTGTTTTAACATAATTCATGATTTTGAAAGAGGAAAAGGAGCCGAACTGTTAGGACAAGTGGTAGTTAATGTCCACAAGCAAATGCTTGTCCTCACCTAGCTGCTTGTGTTGTTGCTTACTTCAGTTATTTGGCTCAGTGTAATTTTGAAAGAGCAACAGTTACTCTGCTTGCATCCTGTTGCTCTTCTCTTTGGCACAGTTAGCAGTTCTCACATTCTGGCTCAAACATGGATAGTTAGATGTCACTGTCTAACAGTAACTCAAAAAAACATCCTAGCTGTTTGGCTTTCCTGAACATACCATTAGCTATCGAGCACTGCCCCCATTCCCCCTTCTCTCCCCAATCCCCAAACTCTTGTAGTAGTTCAAATTTTGCAGCCAATTCCCAGATACCTAATCCGAGGGGTTTCACACAGTATTCAGACTGGGAAATCTCACTACAGAGCCTGCTGCATCATCGCTTAAAATGCGAGTAGATTTATCGATGGTTAATTTTTTTTTTTTATTTTGGCCAGAGTGTCCACGCAGATAGTAACCCAAGCTCAGGATCCAGTAGGGGACCCTGGAGCTGTGAAGCAGCAATGCTACCCACTGTCGCACCATGCTACCCAGGAAACAAACTTAGTTTGATTTCTTAAAAACGGTACAGTACAGCAGAGCAACATTTACTCAGTTTGGAAGTTGCCAGAGTAATGTTTGTCGCAGTCTAAAAGTTTTAGGTGACTCTTTCGTACCCACGAACCCACAGTACCACATTCTCACACATACACACACACAAACACACACACCAAAACAATATCTCATACAAAAATACAAAAAATTCAAATAAGAATAAGACACAAACTATAACCCAGTCCGTAACCTTACTGCTGCTACTTTTTGTGTGAATGCAGTCATGCACTTAGGCTTTGGCACAGTTTGGAAAGCAGAACTCAACTACCTCCTACATTTTCTACAACCTCTTTTGCAATATTGACTCGTCTCCTGAATTTACTCATTTTAAATCATTCCCATCAGTCATATAACAACTGGTCAATAATCTTTTCTCTCTCTCGCTTCCTCTCATTGGTGTGTTATGGTTTCCTAGGGCTCAAGCTCCCCATGGCACCAGGTGAGAAGGTGAGAGTGTTGGCTTTGATTAAATGGGCTTCTGTTAGCACTGCCACTGGAATGTTGATTAGCCATTGAACTGCAGCTTGATTCCTCCATTGTTTGCTGATAAGGAGCATTAAGTGCACGTCATTGCAGACTGGGAACGACAGGCTCCGGCTCTTGGTTATGGATGCACACTTCATCTCTCAGATTGCCAATTCTTTTCAAGCAGGCATGGCAGCCCATCAAAGTAGAGGGCCGCTAACATAAATGTTATAACACACTACTCAGCAAGGGCATTTTATCACTCAGTTTTCTCATTCGCTGAATGTCTGCTGTAGGAATGAGCACACTCGTTTTCCTCTTCTTTTTAAGCCAAGGCTTTATCAAAACTAATAACTGACACATCGGAGCCATACTGAATTATTCAAAGAGAAAAAAAACAAAGACATTTCCAAGAGAAAGTACAAAGGCAGTGTCTGAAGGGAAGTGGATGAAACGTTAAAAGTCATGCTCTGTTGTGTAACTGCGTAACAGCTGGTATTATGCTCCCTTCTGAATAGGCTTACAAAATCTACACTTTAGGGTTCAAGAATGAACCGGCTTTTCTTAGAGTCACTGGTTTTTATTTAAGCCAATGTTTAGTTGTAATTTTGTTATTTGGAAAGTACAATAAAGCACTTGGATTCTTCATTTCATTATTAATTGTAATTAACAGAAGATGTGATGGCAAGCATGGATATAGCTTCATAAAGGAAGCTACTTTTGGAATGTAGCTTGTAGTGTAGCTGAGCTAAATTTTTTGTAGCATTGCTAACTACAGTTTTACAGTTGCTGACTGATCACTGTGAAGATGGTGTTATTATATATAGTGGAACCAAACACTGCAAGGCCCTCATCATTTTTTTATTTGTCTAAATAAAATGCTTTTTACTTGTTCACTATACAACTCCCTGCAAGTAGCTAAGAACCGACGACTGTTCTACAAAACATGGGACATTTTGGCTGGTTAGCATTTTTGGATAAGGATAAACCAGTTTTGGTGACTATGGGTGATCATTTGTCAGTATTTTGGGGGAAGAGAATACACTGAATTTAAGTATTTGGGTATTACTGAATTTAACTTCTGTAAGGTACTGTATGTGTGCAATAACAAGAAATTGAATTAAAAATCTTATGAATAGAAGAGGTGATCTTTCAGTGACACCTGAATATTGATATGTCCGTCATGCATGCACAAAAACAGCATGTCATGTTTCACTTTGCACTGTGCAAAATATGCCCACTTTTCACAATCAAGTCTCATTAAAATGGATAAAACCATAGACATACATTGTTTTTCAAAATCCAACAGTATAAAA